CAAACACTATCTTGCATCTCTCTGTATGTTCCCAAAGCTAATAACCACAACACACTTCCTTATCATGAAAATTACCAGCCACTTGGAGGCTGTAAGGACTTGTGGTCATTTGCAGAGTTGTCTTGGCAATTCTAGGGTCTTCCTATACAATTTTCTCCAACTCCCCCACATTGTATTTAAGTACCTTGAACAAAAAGGGAGTCATATCTGCCACATTAGGAAATAGTATCAACCGAATAGTACTCCACATGTTGCCATTCACAAATGCAAAGAAACCCATAAAGATTTCCCATGTGGGCAGTTCTTATTAGTTAAACTCCTTCTTCTCATATATGCTTTCTCTCCTGTTCTTTGGACTGTATTTGCCAGTGACCTAGGGTCTGATTACCCATCAAGCGTTTGACATTTTTCAGGGTCATGTTCTGGAAGAGGTGACAGAGCATACTCTTGTCAAGCTTGCAGATGGCACAAAACCGGGCCAAACAGTTAACACACTCTAGGGCAGGGCTGCCATCCAGGGGGGCCTAGACAAGCGAGAGGAAGGGGCTAATGGAAACTTTGTGAAGTTCAAGACAAAAGTCCAGCATGTGGGAAGGAAGAGCCCATTGCAATGACACAGGCTGGGACCTGATTGGCTGGGGAGCAGCCCTGTGGAGGAGGTCTTGGAGATGTGGGCAGACATGTCAGCTGGATATCAATGAGTCAGCAGCATGCCCTGTCAGCAAAGGTGGCGAACAGTGTCTTATGCTCTGTTAACAAAAGTATAGTCTGCTGATAGAGCGAAGCGATTAGCCCCCTCTACTCAAAACTCAGACCATGCCTAGATACTGTGTCCACAACAAAGACATTCACTTTGTTTAGTTATACAAAGTTCCCATTAGCCCATTCCTCTTGCCTGTCTAGGTCCCACTGGGTGGCAGCATTGCCCTTGACTGTATTGAGCAGTTTCCCCAGTTCTATGTCTTCTGTAAATTTTATGACTGTGCACTCCCCCACTGCCTCCTCCAGGTCATTGATAAGGTTGTTGAACAGGACTGGTCACAATACAGACCCCTGCAGACCCTTGATGTCCTCTGAGTAGAGTACAACCCCTAACCATGACCCACTGAGCCTGACCACTCAACTGGCTTTTTATCCGTTTGTGGCAAGATGGTGTCAAAAGACTTGCTAAAATCAAGGTAAATGACATTCACTGCTCTCCCCTAGTCCACAGATCCTGTCAGTTTATCATAGAAGGCTGTCAGGCTGATCAGCCCTCAGTAAATTCATGCTGACTGTTCCCTACCACCTCCTTTACGTGCCCAGAAATGTGCTCCAAGAGGACTCATTTCATGAACTTCCCCGGGAGTGGAGTGAGGCTGCCCAGGCTGTAGTTCCATAGGGTTTGTTTCTGGCTTTTTCTAAAGACTGGTGCAACATTTGCTTTTCTCCAGTAATGAGGGACCTCCCTCAACCTTCACGACCTTTCAAAGTTACAGAATGCAGTCTTGCTACCACATCGGTCAGCTCTCTCAGCACTCTTGGATGCAGTCTGTCTAGTCCCATCGACTTCCATGCGTTGAACTCTCCCAGTCACTGACTTGATCTACACCTGCCTCCTCCCTGAACTCTTTCACTAATAACAGAGGCCTGGGAGACCTTGCTGGTGAAGACTGAAGCAAAGGAGTCATTAGGTGTCTTGGGCTTATCTGTGTCTGCTGTTACCAAATCACTTGAGATCCCTTTGTTCGTGCGGCATTTCCTCTTTTCAGCTTTTTATTACTAATCATAGAATCACAGAATTGTTTAGGTTGGAAAAGATCTTAGAAGCTCTTCTTGTTGCTCCTAACATTCCTTGCAACTGTCAACGTGAGCTTTGGCTTTCCTAACACCGTCCCCTCCATGTCCGGACAATTTTTCTGACCTCCTCCTTTGTATCCTGTCTCCGCTTCCACCTCTCAAATGCTGCCTTTTAGCATTGGAGCTCTGCCATTATACCTGTTCTTAACAAACCTGTTTTCCTTGACAGTGAAGAGCAGATCCGGCTGTGTCAACACCAGTTCACCCATCCAGTACCACCAACCAGTTATCCCAAACACCCTTCAGAAACCTTCCTCCTTGCATCCCACCATGTTGACCTTCCAGAATATGTCAGGGTCCCCTATGAGGACTACGTTCTGTGACACAGAGATTTCCTCCAGTTGTTTAAACAAGTCTTAAGTCTAAGAATCATAGAATCGTTTAGGTTGGAAAAGACCTTTAAGATCATCCAGTCCAACCATTAACCTACACTACCAAATCCACACTAAACCAATCAAGGGTAGACTAGACTAAACCATGTCCCAGAGTGCCACATCTACCCGTTTTTTGAACACTTCCAGGGATGGGGACTCCACCACCTCTCTGGGCAGCCTCTTCCAATGCTTGACTACCCTTTCCGTAAAGAAATTTCTCCTAATTTCCAGCCTAAACCTCCCCTGGCGCAGCTTGAGCCCATTTCCTTTCGTCCCATCGCTAACTACTTGCGAGAAGAGACCAACACCCACCTCACTACAACCTCCTCTCAGGTAGCTGTAGAGAGCGATAAGGTCTCCCCTCAGCCTCCTCTTCTCCAGGGTAAACAACCCCAGTTCCCTCAGCCGCTCCTCATAAGGCCTGTGCTCCAGACCCTTCACCAGCCTTGTTGCCCTTCTCTGAACACGCTCCAGCACCTCAATGTCTTTCTTGTATTGAGGGGCCCAAAACTGGACACAATATTCCAGGTGCGGCCTCACCAGGGCTGAGTACAGGGGGACAATCACCTCCCTGCTCCTGCTGGCCACACCATTCCTGATACAGGCCAGGATGCTGTTGGCCTTCTTGGCCACCTGGGCACACTGCTGGCTCACGTTCAGGCGGCTGTCAACCAATACCCCCAGGTCCTTTTCAGCTAGGCTTCCTTCTGTAGTAGTAGGTGAGGCTACTTCGTCACCTAGATCACGTGGTCCATAACATACTCCCACCATGCTATTTTAAATTTTTTTAATTGATCAAGTCAGTAGCCTGCACCTGCCCAAGTGATTTAATAGTCTGGATACTCGGCTTCCAGCTCCTCTGTAGGCACAGAATGATTTGCTCTCCCAAAACCCATGGCAAATTTATAAACATAGATGGTCTTCTCCTCACTCTGGTGAAGGATCCTTCTGGCTGCCAAACACTCACAGTCATATTTGCTTTTTAAGCTCTATCCAGTCATATCTGCAAACAACACACTTGCTGGTGCTGGTCCTTGTGTTAGCTGTGGTGCATACACATACTAACACGTACCTGAAGACACTGACGGGATTAACATCCACACCAGCAACATGTGCCAGTCCCTGTGCCGCCATCACCACCCTGGCCTGCACACGAGACTGCCGCTGAAACCCCCATTTTACAAGCACAGGTTATACAGGCTTTTTCAGGGAAATCTACATTGACACTACTTTCAAAATTACTGGTCTCATCTCAATGAAAAAAGAATCAAAGCTGAAAATGCTATAAAAAGGGATGCTTCTTCCTTTTGTTTCCATAGATAACTATTTTTGTGCTTTCTTCTGACAATGCCACATGAAGAAACTCGGTAGATGGATGCTTCCTTTAGCACACTAAAATGTCTTAAAAGTTTTGCTTATCACAATTAGCAATGGCCTAAAACCCTGCAAGATTAGCTGCCAAAAAAGTGCATGAAAGAGCAAATAGGACAGAGAGACCCTGTGGCCAACAGTGCAGTACATCGACAAACTTATAAAGATGTCATAAAGAGACGTTCCTTTAAGCCTGAAATGGTGGCTTTCAAATAAAAACTGAATTCACTGATGCTTATGTGACAGCAATTTCTTTGATTCAAATTAACCACTTGTTTTAGCTTGCATTTTCAGCTTGTAGTTATTGACAATATATTCACATCAGATTAACGGACTGACCTTTTTTCTTCTTTTCTTCAAGTGACTATAAGGTCAGCTTTTTGGACTTTTGAAGTGGTTGGCCAGATGCTTTCAAAAGGAGGTTAAAGTATGTGAGTTTCAATCTAATTAAAAAGGCCTCTTTTTTAAAACAAACTTTTCTTTTGTTCATATCAGCACTTACTTTTTTAAAAGACCCCAAGAGAGAGTTCCAGTCTATAGATCACTTGTCCTGGAGAAAGCTCTGTTAACTATTTATAGATCATGTCCTTTTGTACCAAACTAGATCAAGCAATTTATTCAGTACATGACTGCAGGAGAGAAATTCATTTGCTCTAAGTGTCATCAAGGCAGCCTTTTCCCTGCTATGAACAAGACCAGAAGACCTGAATTGCTGGGCTTTTACTACAAATGTACATTTTGACATCGTGTGGGGTGCCATCATTTCTTTCAAGTTTTCCAAGTATTAAGTACATTCATAGAATGGACAGTCATAGAATCATAGAATCACAGAATCGTTTAGGTTGGAAAAGACCTTTAAGATCATCCAGTCCAACCATTAACCTACACTACCAAATCCACACTAAACCAATCAAGGGTAGACTAGACTAAACCATGTCCCAAAGTGCCACATCTACCCGTTTTCTGAACACCTCCAGGGATGGGGACTCCACCACCTCTCTGGGCAGCCTCTTCCAATGCTTGACTACCCTTTCCGTAAAGAAATTTCTCCTAATTTCCAGCCTAAACCTCCCCTGGCGCAGCTTGAGCCCATTTCCTTTCGTCCCATCGCTAACTACTTGCGAGAAGAGACCAACACCCACCTCACTACAACCTCCTCTCAGGTAGCTGTAGAGAGCGATAAGGTCTCCCCTCAGCCTCCTCTTCTCCAGGGTAAACAATCCCAGTTCCCTCAGCCGCTCCTCATAAGGCCTGTGCTCCAGACCCTTCACCAGCCTTGTTGCCCTTCTCTGGACACACTCCAGCACCTCAATGTCTTTCTTGTATTGAGGGGCCCAAAACTGGACACAGTATTCCAGGTGCAGCCTCACCAGCACCGAGTACAGTCCTTAATCACAAGAAGAGCAAATAGCCCATAACCACTAGAATAAAGCAAACACATGTGCGCACCTTCAAGTTATCACTCTTTTCTTTAAAGCAACACATATAGATGCAAATTACCATTAGCTGCTTTGGTATATCTCACTTTAGAAATGGGATCATGCCAGTCTACAGACCAAGCAGAGGAGCACACAACAGGCATCAGCTCCTCAGCTTAATGGCAACAGAATCAAAACAAAACAAGAGAAACGATGGCCTTCATCACCTCTAATCAGCAAGGGCTTTCTTTGAGCATTCACCAGAGAAGTGATCCTCTCTGTAAAACCTAGTAGAGAGGCTGTACGCAGCAAAAACGCTCCACTGTGGCAAATAGTTTGGTTTACTACTACAGTTTTCTTTGTGGAGTCATTACTAAGATGACATCTCGTATTTGTAAGCTGCCTGAGCCCACTAAAGTTAAAAAAATGAAAGAAAAAAGCAGTTAAAAATACAGAAAGAAAATAAATCAGCTGTTAAAAACCACTGACATTTGCTGGCAACAGCTCCAGACACAAAAAGCACAGCTGGTTTGGGGAACATGGGTGTCTATTGTTATAGGACCAATGCAGAAGAGAAGAAAGAACATGCCTTGCTTTCCTTTTTCAGTTGTTCTACCAAGACAAACTCCCTGGCTCTGCCTAGCTAAATATGCTCCAGCCTGGCTACAGGTATTGCTCCTAGATGGCTGGAAAACAGTGCAGGTGCTTCAAACAGTATTGCTACTATCATGGGCATACAGAGCACTTTCAAAACTGCACTGGCACTCCAACTTTCCTTGGCCAATAGGATAATGTGTTGGGGATATTTTCATTTTCTGTCTTGAAAAGGGGTCTAGCATAGAGACCGATGACAGAATCTGAGTCATTAAGAGCATTATGCTGGGAGTTAAAAATACATTGGTAAAATAAATAGTGATAAGGTAGACACTGCTGTTTTAGTAGCTTTTGAGTCATGACTCATGCCTATGTACTGAAATCACTATACAAGCCTGATTCCTAAATTACTTTCAGCTGCAGAGTTTCCATTCTTTCACTTCAGAGGCACACCAAGATCCCAAGCCCTATCCCACCTGACAGTATAAATTCTCAAAATGTAGAATGACATTATCATACCAAAGCGCCACGAGGAAACATGACAGACTAAAACTCATACTACCATTTTATACAAAGAACACATTTTGGAATAGTTTGGGTTTTTTTTCTTTTAGGCATTCATCTAATACATATAATCATTTAGTGAAAGTTATGCAATAAGGATACAGAAGCTAAGAACAGATTTTGTTTTGTTTTGTTTTGTTTTTTAAATAGAGAGACCATATCACCAGAAGCTGAATCTCAAGCTTAGAGTCAAGAATTAATGAATTCCTGCCTTGACTGCCAATGTGCTGCTGACAAGTCATACATAACTCTCATGTCTCTAATTTTTGTTTTCTTTATTGGGAGAGAGGGGTGGAAATAAATACCAGCTATCAAGGAACTCCCAGTACCACTACCCAGATATCTATTTGGAAAAATATCACTGGAGAATATAAATCAAGAAGATTATTTTTAAAAGAAAACTTTTTTTTTTTTTAAAATAAGACAGGCAGACCAACATATGCACACACATTGCGAACATTAAAAAAAAAAAAAAATTAGGTCCTACTGGTCTCCTTTCTGTAGAGTTCCACGTCTGGTCTAAACAAAGCATACCACAGCAATTTGAAGACCATTTGAAATCATGAGGACCATATCCATCAACTGAGAAGAAGTGTTTTATTTCACACACCATTTACAACTTGATACAGAGATCCAACAAAATCAGCAGGCTCCAAAATGGCTAATGAGAAAGAAAAGCATCACTTTATTATCTTTGGAAGTTGCACTCGACCTCAGTCTAGTTATGTAGGGTGGATGCCCACACCGGACAGAGTCTGCCACTGATTTCAATTACTTTTCCCATTGTACTACCATGGCAGCAAGGCTATCTTCTCTTCAAATTAGTAAACAAAAAAAAGGCAAAAAGTGTCTTTGATTTGACATTCTGTAGTGACAAGAGGAAAGTACAGTGGGCAACTGGGTATGGATTTCATCCAGCAGTTCCAACCTGCTGCTCTCAGCTGTCACAACAGGATATAGGTCACCAGTAGTCCTTCGAATATCCCCTGCTCAAGGTTACTCACCACTTAAACTAAAAGCTTTATATGCAAAATATCTGCCGTTGCATATCTTCCCCAAACTGCCCCAGATGCTTTAGGACAATAAGTGTGTCATGGAATCAAACCTGATTCTTTTTAAAGCCAGATCTATTTTGATATAATCCGCAATCCAATGTATGCCCTTCAATCAAGTAGCTGAAGGGAACACTTCTGTATGTTGCATCAATCCACTGGATTGGGGAGGTGTGTGTAACAGCTAGACTAGTTATATGGTTTCCCAAGGATAAGAAAAATAGTGGTTGTAGGAGACCTTTTTTACAGCAAGAAGATTAAAAAAACTACTTTCATTTTTTTACATAAAAATAAGCACTGGGGGGAACAGGAGATGAGATGCAATAAAAAAATACCTGTAAACCTATTCCCATTGTTTGGTTTGTTTCTAAGTTTAATAGCTTTAAAATCAAAGCAAGTGTTTTAACTGATGACTTTCAGGAAGCTGGTCAGAAGTAATAGCATCGTCAGATGCTTACCAAATCTCTTCCACCATTCCATGCTCCACAACTACACACTTGAATCATCTCTCTTGGGCATGTTTGAGCAGCACCAAGACAACAATACTAATTTTTGTCAAAACAAAACAGCCATCTTGCAGGGGAAAAAAAAAAAAAAAGAACTGTAAGGAATTATCAGGAGTAATAGTAGGCATATTCCCTCTTTAGAAACCCCTCCTCTAGCTTTTAAAATAAGCCCAGAAAAGGGACTAAGAATGTCACCACTCCAGACATTTCAGTAATAAATAGAAAAGGAAAGAACACAGGCCAGTGCAAAGCTGACGCAGCAGGGAGAAGACGAGATATCAGCAGAGTCATAAGCCACTTACATGAAATTGGAAATGCTAAAAAGTTTTGAAGCATTTCCATAAGCAGAACACATCAAGTCATGTAGCAGTGTAAAAAAGATGTTTACATCTAATGCTATTTACCTTAACAGTTAATGGGATTGCATTGTTTATGTTAACAAACTGATTACCATGAAGTCACTCAAAAGGCATAAAAGTGCTGTGTGTGAATAGACACCTCTTCAAATTTGGTATTTCCTCATGAATCCAGCTACTTACATTTAAATAGGTGATAGCAGCTTGCTACTGACTTTTACCAGGGTAAACTCAAATTCACCGTGCTAATAGAACTAGTTAAATAAGAAACAA